AACTATGTTAGCATACCATGACACTGCCGTTACAAATAATATTTTCTCATCGGGAAAATCCTCCTGAATTTATTTCATGTCATGACAAATGTTTTTGTTCTCTAGCCTAGATAAGTGACCCACTACTTCATTTTCAGTACATTCATATCTTTCACGTCTAAATCAAATTCTTGCAGCAAAAGTATCCATCTAATAAGCCTAGGCTTGGCATCCTTTTTATTAACTAGGTACTTAATGGCAGTGTGGCCTGTATGTAATATGACCTTAGTTCCTATAAGGTATGCCCGAAACTTATCAAAGGCAAATACCACAACCAGCAATTCTTTTTCAGTGGTGGTATAATTAAGTTGTGCATCATTAAGGGTAAGGCTAGCATAGTAAATGACATAGAAGATTTTACCTTTTCTTTGCCCTAGCACTGCCCCTACTGCGTAGTCAATGGCATCGCACATAAGCTCGAAAGGGATTTCCTAGTCAGGTGGAACAAAAATTGTTGCCGACGTAAGTTTTTTCTTTAGATCAGTGGATGCACTTAGGCATTCATCAATTACTTGAAGCAATATACAAAAAGGCTTTGAAATCTTTAAAAAAATCCTTGATAAAACGTCTGTAGAATATTGCATTTCCTAGGAAACTCCTGATGCCCTTCACAATGGTAAGTGGAGGTGAATTCTCAATTACTTCTACATTGGCTTTGTTAACCTCGATGTCTTAGCGAGAAATTTTGTGTCCCAACACAATTCTTTTTGTCACCATAAAGTGACATTTCTCCTAGTTTAGCACAAGGTTGGACTCCTCACATCGCTTTAGCACTTTACGTAAATTGTCGAGGCATTAGTTAAAATAATCACCTGACACGAAAAAATCATCCATAAATATTTCCAAAAAGTCCTCCACCATGTAAGAGAAAATGACCACCATACATCTCTGAAAGGTTGTCAGGGCATTACATAGTCCGAACGGTATTCTCTGAAAAGCATACGTGCCATATAGGCAGGTGAAGGTGGTCTTCTCTTGATCTTTTGGTGCTAAGATGATTTGATTATATCTAGAGTATTGTCAAGGAAACAGTAAAATGTCTCCCCTGCTAATCGATCAAGCATTTGACCAATGAAAGGAAGGGGGAAGTGATCTTTCTTTGTCTACTTGTTGAGCTTTATATAATCCATACATATTCGCTAACCTGTGACAGTTCTTGTAGTCAAAAGCTCATCATTTTCGCTCTTTACCATGGTTACGCCACCTTTCTTCGGCACGCATTGAACTGGACTGACCCAAGAACTATCAGATATAAAATAGATCACCCCAGCATCGAGCCATTTGATAATTTCCTTCATCACCACTTTATTCATTATAGGATTAAGTCTCCTTTGGGGTTCTATAGAATTACTATGACATTCCTCTAGCTGGATCTTGTGCATGCATATGGTAGGGTTAATTCCCTTCAAGTATACAATAGTCCACCCGAGAGCTTTTTTGTGATGTAATAAAACATTCAACAAACTACCCTCTTGCTTGAGGGTTAGACTATCAAAAACTATAACTGGTAAAGCATTGTCACTCCCTAGATAAATGTATTTCAAATGTAATGGCAAATGTTTAAGTTCTAAGGGAGGTGTATGCTGTAACGAGGGTTTTGGAGGAATAAATACATTGAAATCAAGGGTTTGAATAACATACCTGGTCTAGCTTGAAGTAAGCTAGATTGTTTTGTCTCTAGTGAATAGTCCTCAAACTCTTCATTTGTTCTATCTTCAGTAAATCCTACTTTTGCTTCAGTCAGAAATTTTTTTCCTAGGCAAACATTTTTACCTACGTCATTCTAAAAAAATTCACCTGAGCCAAACCTATTGTTTCTCTCTAGTTGTAAAATATCGTCAGGACAAAAAAATTTACACTCCTAAATCTGGGCAATGTTATATTTGCACATAGTACCATATTCGTCTAGATGTAAAATTTTGCATTGACTAAAAAATTTTGTCCCGTCTTCTTTTTGGGGTTCTATATTTCCAATGCAATAGCATTCTTTAGAATCATCAACATACTTAAGAGCGTTGAAGACATTGATAGTGACGCTTTGATCGGCCATCCTCATAGTAAACTCTCACTTCTCACAGTCTATTAAGATGCACCATGTGGCTAAGAAGTGACGCCCAAGAATAATAGGAACATTTTCATCGGTTTTCAATCTAAAATAAGGAAATCTGTTGGAAAGATTAACTTATCCACTTTAACTATCACATCTTCAATTTTTCCCTTGGGACGAACATGTGATCGATCTCCTAGTTGCAAAATTACGGTGGTTGTTCAAGAATTACCCATTCCATGTTTCAAAAATATGGACTTGGGCATCATATTTACACTTGACCCCAAGTCACAAAGGGCTCTCCCAACATACTTATCACCGATGTAGCATGGTATAACAAAGCTTCTAGGATTTTTTTGCTTCGGAGGAAATTTACTCAATGTCGAATAATACTCTGTTGCCATGGCAATATTTTCTATTTTTTCCACATTTATCTTATTTGTGACAATATCCTTCAAGAACTTGGCATAAAAAGTTACCTGATCGATAGTTTCAAGCAGTGGGACATTTATATACAACTTATCAAGGACATCAACAAAATTTTTGAACTGGATCTTATCATTATGCTTCTTCAACCACTGAGGGAAAGGCGGTGGAGGTCTGATTTCATCTGCTGCGGATGGGGGTATAACTTTTGCCCTGGCAATAAATTTCCACCATCATTGGGTTGACTTGTCGACTGCTCATCCTTTTCATTTTTCACAAACAAATCTTCATGTTCAGCTTCTTCAGCTTAACTTTCTGGTTCTTCATGTGTAGTGCCTTGGTGAGAAATTTCTCGGTCATTTCCCCCAAACTTATCATCGAAATTTATTTGAGTACCACTCTTAAGTGTAAGAGCACTTCATTTCTCCTTCCCATAAGGCTTAGTTACCTCAGTGTCACTAGGGATACTTCCTTACGGGCGAGAGTGTATTGTCGTGGCAATTTGGCCCACTTGATTTTCTAACTCTATCAAGGATGAACTATGGCTTTGTAATAGAGCTGCTTGGCTTTACAAAAAAGCACCATGATTCTTGATTGTCGATGAATGCTTGTGTATCAAAGTCTTTGTTGAAGCCATGAAATCTTTTGTCGAGGCCATAAATTCCTACAGTGAAGCTTCAAGGGAGTTAGAATTTGACGAAGATGCATTACCTTTATTATTATTTTGCCAGGGCATCTGTTGATGTTGCAAACTTAAATGTTCAGAGGCATTCTACTGTGGCCTATTAAAGTTGCCTGCATAGTTGTTGTTTTTCCCTTTATTACCTTACGAAAAGTTTGGATATTGTCTCCATCCAGGATTATATGTATTAGAGTAGGGGTTGTTGTTGTTTCTGTTAAAATTGCCCAAAAAATTGACGGACTCTTGGTTTCTAGGCATTCACTCTCATGATGGTTGTCGCAGCAAAGAATGCATGCCGAGTTTGTTGCCTTGACTTCTTTCACCTCACTGGAATGTTGCAAAAATTTCAGCATGTTAGTTATGGCAGAAAGTTTGGCAGAAACTGAATCCTTACCGTCAAGTTCATATACCCCAGATATTTTCCTACCGGATCCAAGACTTGCAGATGGGAATTAATAGTCGTTATTGGCTATCCGATCGAGGATATCAAAGGCTTCCTCAGGCAAATTTTCAAGTAAAGTGCCATTTTTCGAAGCATGCAACATCATGTGAGTAGGTGCATTGAAACCATTATAGAACACGACGACTTGGGTCCACTTGTTGAATCCATGGCTGGTGTATTTTCAAAGAAAACTTTTATATATGTCCCAACACTCATACATAGATTCGTTACATCCTTGGCGAAAACTTGTAAAATTATTGCGGAACTAGGTGGGTTATATCAAAGTAAAAACTTTTGCATAAGTCAGTCCAAGATTCCATTGAGCCGGATGGAACTCCACTCAACCACGCTCTTGCTCGATCATGTAAAGAGTATGGGAATAATTTTAGTTTTAGCACATACTCGTGCACACCTTGTTGCCTAAATGACTCACACACCTCAAGGAAAGCGCGTACATGATGTATAACATCTCCATTAGGCAAGCCATAAAGTTGATCGATAGAATTGAGCATGTTGAACATCACCGGCTTGAGTTTGAAGTGAACTTTTACTTTATTTTTTTATAAAATATAGTAATGTGTGTGTGTGTGTGTGTGTGCGCGCGCGTGTGGATAACTTTTTAAAGAAAATAAATTAGTGTATACATCACACACAAAGATATGTAAAAGAAAAGGATCTAATGGGGTACATAAACAAAGTACTCAAACAATAAAACAGTTTGTTTTTATTTTTTCGGAAAAGGGTTAGAAAATTGGGAAGGTGCATTGGCTTGAGTATTTGGAAAAATGAAGGAAAGGGTGGCTTGTATTTTAGTATCAATAATGCATGCGGTTGTACAGCAAAAAATATTACTGTGTGATATCAGAGTTTAACTATGAAGCTTTGTTTCTTTATGGGATGTTTCTTAATTTTGGCCCATCTCATCTTTATCTCTCAGTTTGTGGGACTAGAAATTTAAATACGGTATATTATATAGTGGTAGTGGTATCATTCAAAATTATTATTGTATGACTGCGATACCTACAATCATCATAATAACATCAGTTATGTTCGTAATCGCGATAAACGCAAAATAATTGAAAATGTGACTGCAATGACAATATTCATTGACCGTATCTCTTTTACTTCCTTTCGAACAAGTTTCCATTGACACTACACTTACAAGACACAACCCCATGGAGATGAAGATATAAAGAGAGAGCAAAGCAAAAAGATGAATGAAAAGCTGAATGGTTTAAAGCCCTTTTAAAGAAAGAAAGAAAACGAATTTTAGTTTTTTTTCCTTTTTCTTTTCTTTTCCTTCTTCTAATCTCATCTGGTATGTTCTACTTCTCTTTCCACCTCTAATTCTCTCTCTCTCTATCCTCAGATCAGAAGCAGCTTTGAGCTTTAATTATCCATGTTGGCAAATAATTGTTCTTCAGTTCCTTCTTTGGAGCTATTTACCAACAATAAGAAGAAAAGAAGACCTGCAGGAACACCTGGTACGTATCTATACGACTATATGTGTATATGTATATATATATTCATGTTTGGTTTGTGTTTTTAATGGGAAAATGTAATTAGATCCAGATGCGGAGGTGGTTTCTCTGTCGCCTAAAAGACTGCTGGAATCAGATCGTTACATATGCGAGTTTTGCAACCAAGGATTCCAACGGGACCAAAACCTGCAGATGCACAGGCGGCGACACAAGGTTCCATGGAAGCTTCTCAAGAGGGAGACCCCAGTGGCGAGGAAGAGGGTGTTCGTGTGCCCCGAGCCGAGTTGCCTGCACCACGACCCTTGCCATGCTCTTGGCGATCTGGTGGGGATCAAGAAACACTTCAGGCGGAAGCACAGCAACCACAAGCAATGGGTTTGCCAGAGATGTTCCAAGGGCTATGCTGTTCAGTCCGATTACAAGGCCCATCTTAAAACCTGTGGCACCCGAGGCCATTCTTGTGACTGCGGCAGAGTTTTCTCCAGGTTTTTGTTCCTCTCCCAGGGATTTAAATTGCCGCTGCTGTCGCATTTTCGATTGGATATCACAGTCATATAATAACGATAGCGGATGACGACGGCCCTATATAACCGGCGTTATTTAAATCCTTGCCTCTCATATCACAACCTGTTGGTTTTTTATGATTCTTTTCTGTTTTTTGTTTTGAAAGTATTTAGGATGAAAAAAGATTCACCAGCCCCAAACCATGATCATTACACATTGAATTGCAGGCCCTTTCCTTTTTAATGCTGATGACCTGAGTTTTGACTGGAAAGGAATAACAAAAGGACATAAAGTAAGAAAGAAAGGAAAAAGATAATATTACTTTGTTTTTTCGACTGATGGAACCTTAATCCAACATTTTGCAAGCTTTGTTTACATGCAGATCAAGCCCTTTCAGTATTTCCTCTCCTACATACAATCATATAACAGTTAAACTATATATAAATATGTGTGTGTGTGTCATTGAATTATTATTCATTTTTGTAGGGTTGAGAGCTTCATTGAACATCAAGATGCTTGCCAAATGAGTCGTGGCCAGCCAGAATCACATGCATCACGACTGGCTTGCTTGTCGCGAACAGCTTCGAGCCTCAATCCGTCCAGTGATACAAATTTCAGTACGGTTCCATGGCCTAGTTTGGAGTTGGAAAAGACAATAGGTACCATGTTGTTGTTGAGCCCTACGAAAGATAATTCCCCTAAAACCCCGCATCACCACAACTTGGAACTTCAACTCTTAACCACACCAAATCCAACCGAGGTCTCGGTTTCCCCTAAAAACCATGATCATCATGTTGGATCATAAACTTGATCCATTATGGGAGCCTAAACCCAAACCCAAACTAAATTGATGTCATTACTTACATCATTTAATTAAAGATGTCATTGCTTACATCATTTAATTAATGATGTCATTGCTTACATCAATTTAGTTAGGTGAGAGTTAGATATTTGTTGAATTTGTAATTGTTTAAATTAGTTTATTTGTGTGGTGTAGGATTGTTCTTGAGTAGTATAAATACCCCTTCCCATTTTAGTTTTAAGCATCAAGAAAAATTAAGAGCTTCTAAGTGAGTGAAGAAGCAAAGTCTTATAAGAGTGAGTTGTAGTTCTTGTTTTCGAGTGAGAGTACTCTTGTAATATTTGTTTGAGTTTCAATAAAAGTTGTTTGTGTGAGCGTTCTATTTCCAACAAAGTGGTATCAGAGCGAGTTGGAAAGATCGAAGGTCTCGACGAGAGGAATACGACGCCGCCAGAATTTTCTCAATCTGAGTTCTGACGCACCGCCACGCACCGCCGGAAGACTGCTGCCAGAAAATCGAGTTGACTCACCGAGTTGAGCCGATTCAGCCGAGTTGGAGCCCTTGACCGAGTTGTCCAAGTCCCTCCAAAGTTTTTTTTTTCATCGTTTCGGATTCATCCGTGCAATCGGATTTTTAAAATCTCATTATATTGAGAGATATGGCAAATGGTATGGCACCATTCCAAGTTCCGACACTCAACAACAACAACTACGACAATTGGAGTATCAAAATGAAGGCACTTCTTGGATCACAAGATGTGTGGGATATCATAGAGAAAGGCTATAATGAGCCTGCGGATGATGATGTTTTTGCTACTCTTACACCAGATCAAAGACAACTTTGAAGATTCAGAAAGAGAGACAAGAAGGCTCTCTACCTCATCTATCAAGCATTAGATGATGATGGTTTTGAAAAGATTTCAAGTGCAAGCTCTAGCAAGGAAGCGTGGGAGAAGCTGCAAACCTCTTACAAAGGATCCGAGCAAGTGAAGAAGGTTCGTCTCCAAACATTAAGAGGTGAATTCGAATCCTTAAACATGAAAGCATCTGAGTCTATTTCAGATTATTTCTCAAGAGTAGTAGCTTTCTAATCAATTAAAAAGAAATGGTGAAAAGTTAGACGATGTGAGGATAGAGAAGATACTCCGTTCGTTGTGACGATTGAAGAAACTAAAGACTTGGAAGAAATGAAGATCGAACAGCTCCAAGGATCATTGCAAGCATACGAAGAGAAGCATAAAAGAAGCATGAGTTTACTGAGCAACTCCTCAAGCTGCAACTCAAGGATATGCATGAGAGCCAACGCAATGATAGAAACCAACGTGCCAAAGCAGAGGTAGAGGCCATGGACGAGGGGAAGTCGAGGTCGTGGACGAGGCTGGAATTACAACATAACAATTCCAACAACAACTATGAGAAAGGAGAAAGCTCAACACGAGGCCGTGGAAGAATCCAAACTCAAAGTATGACAAATCTCAAATTCGATGTTATAATTGTCAAAAATTTGGGCATTATGCTTCAGAATGTAGAGCTCCCAACAACAAATTGAGGAGAAGGCCAATTACGTGGAGGAAAAAGACAGATGGCAAAGAAACTCTCTTCTAGCACGAAAGGAAACTGATGGTGTCCAAGCAATTCCTGGTATCTTGACAGTGGTGCAAGCAATCACATGTGTGGAAGGAAAGACATGTTTGTGGAGCTAGACGAGTCAGTAAGTGGAAATGTTTCGTTTGGAGATGATTCCACAATAGCAGTGAAAGGGAGAGGTACATTCTTATCCGTTTGAAAGATGGGAGACATCAATTTATTTCAAATGTCCTACTATGTGCCCAATATGAAAAGTAACATTTTAAGTTTAGGGCAACTGGTAGAGAAGTTATGATATTCATATGATAATTATATCTTTCTATAAAAGATGATAAGAATAACTTCATTGCTAAAGTGCCGATGTCAAAGAATAGAATGTTCTTGATCAACATACAAAATGATGTTGCAAAGTGCCTGAAAGCTTGCTACAAAGATGCATCATGGCTTGGCATCTTCGATTTGGGCATCTCAATTTGGAGGTCTAGAGCTATTATCTAAGAAGGAGATTGTGAAAGGACTACCTCACATCAACCATCCTGACCAACTCTGTGAAGGGTGTCTAGTCGGGAAACAATTCAGGAAAAGCTTCCAAAGGAGTCAGAGACAAGAGCTAAGAAGCCACTTGAGCTCATCCATACCGATGTGTGTGGACCGATCAAGCCAAGCTCTCTCGGTAACAATAACTATTTTCTTCTCTTCATGATGATTTTTCAAGAAAAACCTGGGTATATTTCTTGAAACAAAGTCAGAAGTTTTTGAAGTCTTCAAGAAGTTCAAAGCAGCAGTGGAGAGAGAAAGCGGAAAGGTAGAAAGATCAAAGCCATGAGATCCGATCGAGGTGGAGAATTTACTTCCAGGGAGTTTCAAGAGTTCTGTGAAGCAAATGGAATTCGTCGACCAATGACAGTTCCTAGATCCCCCCAGCAAAATGGTGTGGCAGAAAGAAAGAATAGAACAATCCTCGACATGGCACGAAGCATGCTCAAAAGCAAGAAACTACCCAAAGAATTTTGGGCGGAAGCAGTATCGTGTGCAGTCTACTTGTCAAATCGATCTCCAACAAGAAGTGTATGGGGAAAGACCGCAAGAGGCATGGAGTGGAAGAAAGCCTGGCATTTCCCACTTGAGAACCTTTGGAAGTATAGCCCATGTTCACGTACCAGACGAGAGAAGAACGCTTGATGATAAAAGCGAGAGTTTTATCTTCATCGGCTATGATGCTAATTCGAAGGGCTACAAGTTGTACAATCCAGACAATAAGAAGTTTGTGATTAGTCGAGATGTGGTCTTCAACGAAGAAGGAGAATGGGATTTTAACTCTCATACAGATGACTTCAATTTCTTTCCTCAGTTTGAAGAAGATGAGCAGACAAAGGGAGCAACTAGATGAATCTCAACAAGAGCTTGCAACTCCACCCACTTCACCAACATCAACCACTCAAGGAGACTCATCACCTTCATCATCGTCAAGTGGGAGTCAAAGTGAAAGAGTTGTGCAACGCACAAGAAGCCTTAGACATCTCTATGAGGTAACTGAACGACAAGATAATCTTACATTATTTTGTCTGTTTGCCGATTGTGAACCAGTGAGCTTTCAAGAAGCGGTACAAGAAAAGAATGGAGAGATGCGATGGACGAAGAAATCAAGGCCATCGAGAAGAATGACACATGGGAACTTACCTCACTTCCCAAGGGACATAAGGCGATAGGTGTCAAATGGGTGTACAAACAAAGCAAAACGCCAAAGGAGAGATTGAAAGGCACAAGGCGAGGCTAGTTGCTAAAGGCTATAGTCAAAAGGCTGGAATTGACTATGATGAGGTATTTGCTCCTGTTGCTCGATTGGAGACTATCAGACTAATCATTTCTTTGGCAGCTCAAAACAAGTGGAAGATACAACAGATGGATGTAAAGTCCGCCTTCCTAAATGGAGTTCTTGAAGAGGAACTTTACATTCAGCAACCATCAGGCTATGAAGTCAAAGGGCATGAAGACAAGGTGTTGAAGTTGAAGAAGGCTCTTTACGGGCTAAAACAAGCACCAAGGGCATGGAATAGCCGAATCGACAAGTACTTCCAAGAGAATGGCTTCAACAAATGTCCCTACGAGCATGCTCTATATATCAAGATCAAAGATGAAGATATTTGATCGTGCCTCTACGTGGACGATTTGATCTTCACTGGAAGCAACCCAAGCATGTTTAATGAATTCAAGGAGTGATGATGAAAGAATTCGAGATGACAGACATGGGGCTCATGGCGTACTACCTTGGCATTGAAGTTAAGCAACAAAATGATGGAATTTTCATTTCACAGGAAAGCTATGCAAAGGAGATACTGAAGAAGTTCAAGATGGAGAACTGTAAGCCAATAAGCACACCGGCAGAATACGGGATCAAGATGACCAAACATGAAGAAGGCGAAAGTGTAGATCCAACATTCTTCAAAAGTTTGGTAGGAAGTCTACGCTATCTAACTTGCACGAGACCCGATATTCTTCACGCAGTTGGATTGGTTAGTCGCTACATGGAATCCCCAACAACCACCCATTTTAAAGCCGCAAAGAGAATTCTTCGCTATCTGAAAGGTACAATTGACTTTGGCTTGTTCTATTCAGTTTCTAATGATTACAAGCTTGTTGGATATAGCGACAGTGATTGGGGTGGAGACATAGATAATCGAAGGAGCACTACTGGATTCGTATTTTCATGGGAGATATTGCATTCACATGGATGTCAAAGAAACAACCGATTGTCACATATCCACTTGTGAAGCGGAATATGTTGCTGCTACCTCATGTGTTTGTCATGCAATTTGGCTTAGAAATCTATTGAAGGAGATTGGTTTGATACAAGAAGAGCCTACCAAGGTTTGTGTCGACAACAAGTCAGCCATTGCCTTAGCGAAGAATCCAGATTCCATGATCGAAGCAAGCACATTGATATTCGCTACCACTATATAAGGGAGTGTGTTGCAAGAAAAGATGTGGAAGTTGAATATGTGAAGTCACAAGATCAAGTTGCTGATATTTTTACCAAGCCACTGACCAGCGAAGACTTCTTAAGATTAAGGAACCTACTAGGGGTCACGAGATCAAGTTTAAGGGAGGGTGTTGGATCATAAACTTGATCCATTATGGGAGCCTAAACCCAAACCCAAACTAAATTGATGTCATTACTTACATCATTTAATTAAAGATGTCATTGCTTACATCATTTAATTAATGATGTCATTGCTTACATCAATTTAGTTAGGTGAGAGTTAGATATTTGTTGAATTTGTAATTGTTTAAATTAGTTTATTTGTGTGGTGTAGGATTGTTCTTGAGTAGTATAAATACCCCTTCCCATTTTAGTTTTAAGCATCAAGAAAAATTAAGAGCTTCTAAGTGAGTGAAGAAGCAAAGTCTTATAAGAGTGAGTTGTAGTTCTTGTTTTCGAGTGAGAGTACTCTTGTAATATTTGTTTGAGTTTCAATAAAAGTTGTTTGTGTGAGCGTTCTATTTCCAACACATCATTCGATCCAATTACAGCTCTCGATCGGCTCATCCAATATCGGTTCGGAAAAGGAAGAAACAAAAGAGAAACCAGCGACGCGAGCAGTGCCGCAGCGGTTAAGGTTGGCGATGGCGGAAAAGGCTTATGCCGAAGATGCGAGACAACAAGCGAAAAGGCAGATGAAATTAGCCGAGCATGAGCTTGCCAGGGCAATGAGAATCAGGCAACAATCACAATCTGAATTGGCAAAGGCTCAATCTTTAAAGAAGCATGCAGTAAATCGAATCAAATCCACCATTCTTCAAATTACATGCCATGCCTGCAAGCAGCGGTGTCAAGCTGAGGAGAACTACCTTGTTGTGAGTTACATTTCATCAGCTATAACCCAAGGTGAAGTTGAAATTGATATCCGAACAAATCTAACAAAGAACACTAACATATAAACCAATATATATATATATATATACAAAAAATGATTGTTTTTTGGTAAGTGTTGTATCCTGCAATTTGTGTGATGTAATTTGTTCTTTAATTTGGTTCAATGGGGAGATAAAATGATCGAGTTTGTTGAGCATTTAATACTAATGATGGTCTGTGTTCTTATCAAGTGTTCATCTTGTACAGAAAATGTTGTTAGGTTTTCCTGTTACAAGACAAACACTTAAAAACGAATTTTCATTTGGATTTTGTGTTTGGACTATTTGGAATGATGAAGAGGCCAGGAAATGATGGTGGGGTTGCCCTTCCCTTTCTGCATTAAACCATTTTTGTATTTACCGATCTCTAGTTTTTAACCTAAAATCTCTCATTCTCTTTATAGACCTGAGGTTAATTAAATTACCCTATCATCTTTCACCTAAACAAATATCTTTAATCAAGTTTGTATTTAATATATCTTAAACCTTTGGGGTGATTTTTTTTCAATAATGTAGTCAAAAAAAAAATTTGTTTGAATAGTGCACCTGAGAATTTATTTACTCGAATGGATTGAATGCTACAGTACACATCGGAGTTGCATTGAGCTCTCCACGTCTCCCCAAGGTCGCATCGAACACCATGCGACTCTCCCCTCCCCTCCCCTGGACCACCATGCGTCTTTCCCCAATAATAATTTTAGAAATATATATATATAGCAAAGTAAAATATAAGCCTATATTATATAATATATATATATAACAAAGTAAAAGCCTATATTATTGCAAAAAATCACATGGGGAAAGACGCATGGTGGTCCGGGAAGGGGGAGTCGCATGGTGTTTCATGCGACCTTGGGGAGACGCGGGGAGCCTAATGAGTACTGTAATATTCACCACATTCGAACAAATAATCTCTCGAGTATATTATTCGAACAATTTTTTTCCGACTGCATTATTGGATCAACCTAAACCTTTGATTTATGAAATTTAAGATTAAGGGTGCTATAGTATTACACAATCTTATTAACAACTCTCTATCATAATAATGTGAGATTCTTTTATATAGTTTTTCATTTAAATAATTCAATTCATTTCACTCAAGACAGATAAAATTTAATTAATAAAATTCGTTGTTTCTGTGATATATTGTTCAAGTAATATGTTAGTTACATTATCTAATTATTATTGTTGTTATTATTATATTATAATGTTTGAAAAATATAAATTTAAACGTATTTAAACACGTGTTATTTTTTCATTTAGGGGTTGGAAGATTTGAATGATTCATAGACATTATATAGGAAAATAATTGGTAAGAATAATGTAATTTTTGGGGCTAATCTAGAGTATTTACAGGTGATAATATTTATTTTAAAACTTTTAACTATTTGACAATAATCTCTAATACTCAAATCTTAGACCTCCAAAATAACAATCCTCTCTTAAAGAATAATGTAATTCTAGAAAGCAAAAAATATATATAAATTAGAAATTGCATATCGGAAACCTAGAGAAAATTAAAATACAACTTATTCAAACTTCTAACTATGATGTAAATTGTAAACCGGTAAAAGTAACATGTAGTTGTGAGAAAAATATATAATAAAATCTATATAATTTCTTATCGGTTGTCACTTGTTCAAGAGGTAAACAAAAGTAAGATGGATTAACAAGAAATGAAATTTTACTCTTATATATGGAGTTACAAAAATACTATTCACGTGTACGAATCAAATTATTTCAATGATTAAAGGGATGAATGTTATTTTTGGAAGGTTTTAGGTTAGAGCAATAGCGACTACAAGGTATTTAAGTTTTTATTATCAAATGATTGAGAGTTATTAGAACAAATATTACCGCTTGTAATTCACATTATTCCAAAAAACAAATTATTATTCACATCAATAGGATAGTAATTTATTAAGGCTTAAAGTAAAAAATTATTTCAATTATACATCTTTTCTTACTTAAGTGCCAGAACTTTTTTCGACTGGTGTAGATATCTAATATTATAAATATTATCATTTTAAATGTCTCGATCATAACAGATGTTAAAAAACTACTATTTCACATCAATCGCTTATTATCGTGCCACCAATCAATTGACCACCATCAACGGTGTAAATGAATGTGGAGGCAACATGGTTGTTGTTTCCGTCTAATATTTCGTCGACGGGTGGCTATTATTGATTAAGATTTAGGAATTAAGTATTTGAGATTTTAGGGATTTAAGTTTAAAAATTTAGAAATTTAGGGGTTTTAGATGACGACAAGCATGATGGTCGGTCAGTGGGTAGGCGACGACGGATGGATGGCCGAAGATAGTCGACAATAGGAGTAAAGGGATTGGAATTAGGGCTTTTAAGATTTTTTTTACATTAAAAAAGGTTTAAGTTTTTTAAAAATAGTAACAATAATATTAAAGTTTTTTAAAAAATTAAAAAATATAAACACGACACATGTTAGATTAAAGATTTTTTTAACAGTCGTCATAGATTAAACACTTAAAATGATAACATTGGTAATGTTAGAAACCTATACGACCGAAATAAAGTTTAAGCACTCAATTAGAAAAATAGATATAGTTGAGAACTTTTTATATTAAGTAATTTATAAAATTTGTTATAAATAGTTAACAAATGCTATTGTTGATGTGCAACAGGTAAGGTAGTGATTTTCGGTGGTTCGAACAAGTGAACATTTACTTGAGATGGAAAGTTCATTTATTTTAGTTTGGATGGAGAGCCGCCGGTGAAGGGAAGGGATCTAGCTTGGGTCATTATCTAATAGCTATTTTGCTCAATTCATGCTCTTGAGTGTTGGTTGGATGGCTCTATATAGGGATGTGAAATCAGATAATCATTTAGGTCTTAGATCAAATAATATTAGGTATGGTTAAATCAAATACGGATTAAATCAGGTTAATCCAATGGTTTAAATCAGATCAGGTTAAGTTCAGATCTACTCAGATTCAGATCATTTTTAGTTGATTTGAAATAATATTTAATTCGAGTTTAGGTCAAGTTAATTTCAAATATGTTCAATATTTGTTCAGGTCAAAATGGTTTAGGTATAAATCAATTAAATATCATGTTAATTTAGGTTCAGATGGACTTCAGGTCGAGTCTTCGTTCAGACTGGTTCATGTCATTAACGGATAAAATTTAGATCAAATCTTAATGAGTACGAACGGGTATCAGGTCGGATCATTTTCAAGTGAATTATTTTTCGTCTTTCATGAATATTAAATTGTAACTTGTGTTTGTGTAGGAGAGTAAATTAAAAAATAGAAATAATTATGGGTTAATTTAAATAAAAAATATATAATTTTAATTTAATAGAACTTTTGAATATATTTGTACATTATAGTTTATAGGTAAAAAAATAAAGATATTAATTTAATGATTATAGTTAATTATGTATCTTAAATAGTAAAGAATTAATTTTTCGTACTATAATAGCATAATTTTATAATCTCTTTATTAATTATAACTTACAAGTCAGATAAATACAAATTTAGATAAATATCATAGTGCTTGGATCATTTATAGGTTGATTCAATTACAGATCAGATTGACAACATATCAGGTAATATTAGTTATTTATCAAGTTAATTTTAAATTTGAGTTTATATCATGTAAGATGTAGGTCATATTGAATTATCACATTATCAAGTTCAATTTGGGTTCAGGTTGTCTTTGAGTTAAGTGCAAGTCAAGTTCAGCTCTAAAATACCAACTTTGAATTTTTTTTCAAGGTCATTGTATAAACATTGATTTTCAAAAAAAAAAAAAAAAAAACTTTGAGGGTCTGGATAACACTAAGCCATTAAAAAAAAACCCCTCATTATAAGCAATCAGAGCGCATGAGGGAGAGAGAGGAATGTGATGGTCCCATTATTTCATAAATGCAAAAACGCCATGTTTTTCAGTGCAACAGCATGGCCTGTACGGATTAATGGCAGACTCGGTCTTCCACTCATCGTTTGCAAACAAACTTCATTCACTTACTACTCGCCGATACATCCCTTTCTCAGCGCATTGGGTTTGTGCAGAATAAACCACTTCAAACTCCATTTCTTGGTATTATCACTCGCGTTTTCAGTTTCTTAATAAACTTCGATTATCACCTTTTAATGAAGTTAACTGTAGGACTAAAATCTGAACTCAAAATTGAAATCATTTGAACGCTGCCGGTATATAAATCTTTCTGCCAAATTCTTAGAAGTATGATATGGTGATCGAAGCCAAATGTCCATAATTACCAATATGTCAACATCTTTTAACCTCTTTTGCACAAGACAAACATTTGTTGTTCATCATTACATCAACTCTTCTAGACAAATTAGACGGGAGATGCGGATAGCATAGCAGTGGGGTAGTTGTTGTAAAAATTTATATTATTATGAAATATTTTATTGAAATAATATTTGTTGATGGAAAAAAATATATTATGTCAATCGTTGGTGGTTTAATCTATTTGATTTGAGCATAGAGTTGCAGTCAGTGGTTGATTTTTCGTTGGTAGCTATTCGAGTCTTTTGTTTCTTCTATAAGGAAGTAGAAGAGAGATGAATGAAGGAAAAGTTTTAGTTCACTCTCTGAGTCTTGATCAAGGGGTTTTATAACGACCCTGAGTGTTATTGTCAAATGTAGGGTTATTATGATTATTCGCACGTTGACAAGTTTAGTGGACATGGTCAAATGATAGTATATTTGTCCCTAGTAGGTCACATGTTCCTATTAGATGTCATGTCAAGAGACTGTGACTTCTCAAGGGGTGTCAGGTGTGTGATATCCTACCTCCATAGGTGTTCTTCTGGAACTTCTAGTATGAAGAAGTTTAGTGGATGTGTTGTTATGCAGAAATTGGTCTTGTAGAGGAGATTTGGAAATGGTACAATATTTTTCCTCTTAGTCGATGGATTATTATAAAGTGTCGTGATCCGAGACTTGTCTGTTTAAACGTTATTAACATTTAATAGATTTTTTTATGAAACATCATAATGATTCTTTTTTATATGATTTGCAGGCTTAAATGTTGATAAAATCAAATATTGAACATAGTAGCAAGAATAACGAAGAGAAGAAAGGAGATCTTACCCTCATCGAAGCCTAAACGTCGTCCGGAAAGCTATTTTACCAAAGGTAAAATCAAAGAT